TTTTATAAAGCAGATAACTAAAATACTCACCTAGCCAGACCGGTCCCCGAGGGGTGCACATTTCCAAGGAGAGGACATACCAAAAACACAAATTAGCTGAGCRGAATGGCAGCGTGGTTGGAACAAATGGGTTGAGGATCACGGAGGAAGGACCGTGACCTCCTTCTGCATCAGTCAAGGCAACTGTGAAACTTTGTGAAAGAAGCTCACCGCAAAACAGATGCTGGGCTATCTTAGGTAAATAAATTACCCAAAAATAATAATAAAAAGCTCCCCTGCACATTTTACAAAGCACAGCTGTGTAAATAGTGCACGAAACAGGGGAGRGAGACAGAGCATGCACCCTTTTCCACGCAGAATTCCTCCTCTCCGCACTGTTTATTAGGACTCCCAGTACAGGCATTGCCGTTCTGCGCGGCGCGCAGCGCTGCTACTGTAGCCTGCGCGCACAGTTTTGCCTTAGTTTCAAAGAAGAAAACAGGGTTTCTTGCAGAGCAAACATTTCCACCCCAAGTGCGGACGCGCTGGGAGAGGAAGGCGGCTGGGGATGGGAAGAGGGCGGCCGCGCTCGGGCGCGCGGAGCTGCCGCCGGCCGCCTGGCTCCGGGCCCTCCAACGCTCCCGCTGGAGGCTCCGGCTCTGCCTCTAGCGGGTTTCGGCAGCGAGCGGCGCGGGTTCATGGGCSGCAGGCTCTGTGCACATCCTTGTGCTTGGCAGCCTTCGTGGGCGCTGCTTGCAGGGCTCTGTGCAGTGTTTTTTAACCCATTCCTTGGTACAGGCTGCACCACATCCCGTGACAACCCATTCCTGTCTTGTCCCGGGCCGTGCTCAGGAGAACTGCTGCTGCKGTTGGAACCGGATCCACTGCCTGGGCATTTCATTTGATGCTTCTTGGGGTGTTTTACCACCAACAAGAGGGAATCAATCATTCCCCAGTTCCTTTTTTCAAGTTCAGGGCTGCCCCAGCACCTTGACCACAGAGAACTGCAGAACTGGGAACCCCTGGAGCCGGCAGGATGGGACTGGCCCTGCAGTCCCTGCATCAGACGAGGGCTCTTGCCRAGAGCGACCCTGCTCTGTATGAGCCAGGGCCAAGCGCAAGGGGTCTTGTGGTTCGTGAGGGGAATCCATTTTACTTTAAAAGCAGGGGTTTCGAAGCAGGGAGATTTGAGAAGTGCAAATGCACGGATTATCTTCCCCYGGGCTCAGTGCAGCGTCCTGTTTTCTTACAGCATCCTGCGTCTGTCGCCAGGAGCTGTATCTGTGATGTAGAACATTAATGCACTACCTCGCTCCGAACAGCAGAAAGCACTTTGGACCTGGTCCAAACTGAGCCCTGCCTTAGCACTTGCCTTTACTGTTAACTGAGATACAACGAGCAGAAGTAAAACTTCATCCCGACTCTTCCTCTGCACGAGGCCGATCCTTGGAGCCTGCTCGAGATGGGATGCGGCTCATTTCCCTGTGCCCCGCGGCTCCCCTGGYGCTCTCCATTCATTCCCAGGTCCCTTTTTCACTCCTGGAGTGAACCCAGCTTGGCCACATCTCACGTAAGCCTGATCTTCCCTGGGCGACTCCGCGGAGCTGCTTCCCGCTGCCCAGCCTCCRACACCGGCCTCGTTCCTGGAGAACGTCCCGGAGTGCAGGCCAGGTTACAACTGCTGGCGCTTGGAGAATTCAAAATGAAAAGCTGAGTGTCTCATGCGTCCCCTTCACCAAGTGGGAACTTCCCAGTATTAAAGTATTTTTTAGCCTCTGCTAAAAAGCAATCCCCTAGAATTAAGGCAGGGGAGGCCATGAGAAGGCATGGCGGCCTTGCASGCAGCATCCCCCCATGTCACCGTGATGGAGAACTTTGCTAGTTCTCTGTTTTTACAAGTTTTTTCTTTTCTTTAATGCTCTGTGGAACCCCCGAACAAAACTCAGCTCTTAATGCGGGGTGAACAGTGGCAGTGATTGAATCAAACCTGGTGTCAAATACCCGGGCGCAGGGACAGCAAACCCGCACCCTGCCTGGGGTCGCCCGCTGAAGTGCATTGGTCGTGGAATCACCCGCTTAAAAATGGCTAAAAACATAACTTTTTTTACATTCATAGCATCGCTTTGAAAGGAAAAAGGGGAAAAAGAAAGGAAAATATGGCTAAAACCCGCCGCGGCGGCCTCTTGGGGAAATGCCGTAATGGTGTGGCCGGCTCCAGCCAGCAGCACCATCTGGTGCTGGGCGCTCGCCGAGGGCCCGCGTCCAGCTCAGGTGCTCGGGGCGCCCCACGGCCGCCCCACGGCCGCCCCACGGCGCCGCCGCCCGCGCGCCCGGCCCCGCGCCGCCTCCCTCTGCAGCATCCTCAGCTGCACGTATTAAATTGATATGCAGGGCTCGGCAACGCGGCGCCCGTCTTTTGTCCCTTTGTTCGGGCCATTGTTGGGGGGGTTCATTCTTCTTTGACACCTGGAGCACCACAAAGCTGCCGATGGCGTTGGCGGCCGCGGCGGTGGCGTTGCTGGCGGATGATGCGYGCCCGGCCGGCACCCCGAAGCCTCGCGGCGCCCGCAGCCGCTGTCCTCAGCGCGCACGGCCGCCGCGTCGTCCCCCTCCTGTGCAAGGGATTTCGGGAGATGGAGCGGACGAGTTGGGCATCTCCTGGCCCACACRCCCAGTGTGGCTCCATTGGGGATGCTCCGAGCCCAGCCAGGTTCCCATGTCCCTCCTTCTGCCACGACGTGGAGCACCCTGATGATACTACTAACTGGCAGTGGCATCTCCTCCTCCGTGTTGKTTTTTTGCCCCTCCTCAAAATATTTGCTGTTTTCCTTACGAATAGCAATCTCCAAGGATGATTTGAAGCACTGTAATGGCTAAGCACGGACTTTCTGGTGTGATCCTAGGGAAAGCCGGAGCCCGCTCGGGATCACGACCRGCGAAAGCCGCCGCATCCCATGCATGGGTGCCGGGCGCTGCCAACACTTCCTGCCCATCCATTAAAAAGGGAGTTCTGGAGAGTGCTGAGCCAAACGGAGAGGAGTTTGATCCTGTTAGTAAATACCAGGTAGCTGGTTTATACGGCTGAGCGTTACCTCACAGCCCTGCTCCTCCGTATCCTGTAGGAAACTGCCCTGTTCCTCTATGAACCGCCCCGGCTGTGCACGTTCCCGCACAGTTTATTAGTCCTGGTGTGCTGGCACAGCAGCCTGCCCGAGAAGAGCCGCTTCGCGAGGCGGTGAATTTTAAAGACTTGGGAGATGGCCATGGCTGTTTTTCAGCAAAAGAAAGAAAGCTCTTTCTTTCTTCCCCCCTTTTCTTCCCCCTCTGAGTTACTAAAAGTTTCAAAAGATGCCCCGAAATGAAAAGGAAATAAGAACAAAAGGCAGGATGGGAAGGAGTGCAGCAGAGCACCTACTTTGCTGGCTGGTTTGCTTGTTTCCCCCCCTAGATCTTATCCAAAGTTAAAGTTATCAATTCCGTAGACCTGCTCAGTGAACTGCAAAGATACTCCAAGTACCTCGCACGTTATTCATTTATTTTTGTGTGAGTGCAATAAAAATTTTACAAGCCGTAATCTCGTTCTTTTAATAGAGAGAAAACTATGCAGAATATGTTGCTTAGAGTATTAGATAAGCTGCAGTGTGTTAATCAAATATTTTTGTGATATGAGGGCAGTTGAGAAAACAGTACAATTTTTGCTAATGGCACTGGTAAGTAAACGGATCTATCATTACATTGTCATGAAAAGTGACATTGAGCAGAAACACCCTGCCAATCCCTAGAAGATAAGTATTTAATGTAATTAGACAGACACTGTCTCCTTTGTTGAGCGTAGCATTAATCACCCAGAGAAGTTCAAGTTTATACGAAATGGCTTTTTCTGATATGTCTTTGTATTAGAAAGCTCCTCGCGCGCGTTTGTCGTGTTGATGTATTTGAAGAAACCACTGCTGCGGCCATCGAGCTTTCCTCGTGATGTACCTAGCTGTTCTGTGCTMCTTAATATATATGTAGATATTTATGTAGCAGTGTTACACACTATAGCCGTGACAATGGGACAAATGCCCCCCGGCTGCCCCGTCAGGACGGCCTCCTTGCTAGGCCATAAGCAAAACATTTCCCCCCTTACACGCTGGCCCGGAGCCTCCCATGCACAAAAAAACTTCTTTCTCTGAAAAAATCGCATTGTTAAATCCATGAAAAATGTTGCCCCCTTCCAGAACTCATTGGCACTACATTTTTTTCCCCTCCTGCCTTGCTGGAGGCTGGTGCTGGCGGCAGGGGCCTTGGGAGGCAAAAAGAGCCTCCCAAAAGAGGCGAAAAGGGGAGGTTTGGGAGGCCGAGGCTGCTGCCGCGCGGAGGTCAAGGCCGAGACGAACGGAGCGCAGAGATGAAAAATCTTTGCTGTAATAAGGTTTGGGAGGAAAACGCTGACTAGCCGCAGCTTTGATTCCAGCTGACAGAACCTTTTCTAGTGTTCATTACTTGATTTCACACTTCAGGCAATTTTAAGAGGCTTAAAATTATATTTCTGCTCTCCTCTATAAAACTTTTCGATCACTTTCTAATTTTTGCTTTAAGTAAAGTTACAGGGACTCCCTAATATATCACTTGTGCCTTTTGACTCCTGTAAAGTCAATATGTCACCAAAAATGAAAGGATAAGCTTTTTTTTTTTTTTTTTAACAGCCCCTCACCTCTGCTGCCTCCTTTTTACCAACGAGTTGAAAATGTCACGTAGGGCCCGATTCAGTTAGAGAATTCAAACTTCTCGAAGGCTCCCCCGGAAGGCGGCTAGCGAGAGGAGGAGGAGGAGGAGGATGCTGAAGGCGTCGCTTATCCCGCCTAAGCGCGTGGGGTTTTCCGGCGTCGCTCCGCGCGTGGTGCGCGGCGAGCCCCGTTCTGCTCCCACCCCCTCGCTCCTGCCCGCGTGCTGGAGCGGGCAGGCGAGGAGGATCTTTAGCCRTTGGCTAAAATCCTCCCCCTCGGACTCGCTGTTACTTCTGCATTCGTTCTTTGCAGGAAGAGGAAACTCACTGGTCAAACCCTTGGACACCAGAATAGTTGCATGCAGTTTCCCAGGGAGCCAGATAGCTCTAAAGCTTCCCAGTGAGTGACAGTTTCTCTCTTCTATTCTTCTGAATCATGTGTTTTACACATATACTGAAAAATGTTAATATCAATTTGCAGCCAGATTCTTGCTTTAAAAAAAAAAAAACATATATATATATATATGTACTTCCCAAAGTATATCCACTTAGAGCACCTCAGCACAAACGTCACTTTCTGTACGTAGGAAAAAGTGTTGGATGCTCTTCCACGCGTAGCATCGTTGGCCTGGAGAGCTGCTGGCTCGCGCGGCGTTGTCGCGGCAAGGACGTGGCCCTTGCCAGCGCCAAGCGGTGAAACCTTCCCGTGCGACTGGGGGAAATCATCGCACCCGGGTGGAAATCCAAAAGCGGGGGGGAAATCTGTGCATTTGAGTATCTCCGAGACCACGAGACAAACTTTTGTCCTAGACGTCCCAAATCAGAGGCTGAGGAGTCGCCTGCTCCGTGTCTAGCCAGCCGTGAGCAGGCACGGTTGGGGACGGGATCCTGGGCTAGGTGGACCCTTTCCATCTGATTTGGCATGGCTGTTTGTCTGTGTTCCTAAGATCGAGATCCATAGGCATGTTTTATGCTGCCGGAGCGGCGCTTCCCGAGGTTCTGCAAAGCTCTGCAGCAAAGTGTCTGATGAACGAAAACCGCCTGTCCCATACTGTCGCTTTCTTGGTCCAGTGAAGCAGCCTCCTCCTCCCTGCAAACCCTCAGAGCTCCCGCTCGCCCTTCGTTTCTCTAAGCTAAAGTGCCCCTCCCATTTTCACAGCTTAATTGGACCTAAATGCCCCCGTTTCCCGCAATGTGGTGTTTTGGTAATTCTGCCATTGGCACAAAAGCTTTCCCTTAAGCAAACAGAAAGTTCCCCCTTTGTCACTTCACTGGGCCAAGATTTCACACAGTATCCTGCTTGCTACGAAATATGATAGTGTTCTCTCTCACCTTGTTTCTTTTTTCTTCTTTTACTTTCTTTTATAAAATCAGGATATCTAAGAAACCCCGACCACCGCGGAGCACTACATGGTGGGTGTGCTTATTCAAACGATGCCAATGCTCTTGTTCTCGGGGCCTAGACATTTGGGGTTGGTTGGGGGGATGGACCCATGGTGTCCCTCTCATGGGGCCTCTCCGGTACCAATAGGCAAGAGCTTACGTGATGCCTCTGCTCTTCCCATGCCTGTTTCCATGAAGCTTGTAGAGCTTTTCCCTGTGGCCGCTGCCTCTCTGTCACACGTGTTTTAAGTTGCTCATTAGAGAGGTGCCGGGCAGACCCCAAGGCCATAGGATCATGCAGCTCCTTTGGGAATGAAGCCGGAATGCTGGGCGCTGCCTACTCTGCAAGGGGAACGTTGGGTTTTCCGGGGGGATTCTTGGCCCGGGGGCAGTTCCAGGGTCATTCCAGCATGCAGGTGGGAAYAGACCCTTCCCAGGAAAAGAGCACAGCAGCCGTAGGTCAGCAGCRGGATTCGTTTTGTGTGTTGTAGAAACGGGACAACTTGTTCGGTCCTGTGACCGTCCAGCCTAGGGAGTCACACGGCCAAAATGCCAAGAGGCATGGACAGCAGTACATAGCAGTTCCATGAGTACACTCTTGACCTCTCAAATTACAAATCCGTTCTGCTTTGCTGCACAGGAGTTCAGGTTGCAACTCTTTCTTTCTTTCTTCGAAATAATACATAAACTCCTCACCTCAAACTGTGCAGAAATCATGTGACTTCACAGTACATTTTAAATTACCTAAGTTATTTTCAATCCTGTCTGCAGCTCTTTTATTAATTAAAACATACAGTCAATGGCTGTGTATACCGATTAAGTCTTCAAAGCCCAAATTAACACCACACGTAGTCTTGTCATCATAAAAGTCATTTAAAAGCATTATCATGCAATAACTGAGGTCACAGGTCTAAAAAATCTGCATATTTACCCATCTCCATCTCATGGCTTTGGCATTTAGTAGCCATCACTGTTAMATGTAGCCTGGGTTGCCAGTGATCTTCTGATGGCGTGCAAATGATGAGCAAATGATTTTGGAGACAATTTAAAGAAACGGAAATTTTGACTCCATCCTCTTCAGTTACTAAAATTCCCTTTAGTATCGCTTGCAATTTAGCATCCATATGCATCTCGGGAAGATACAGTTGAAACATAAATCTATTCTGGGTCTTTTCCTTGCAAAAATATCATACCTCAGCTATAATCATATGCAAAGACTTTTTAGAGGGCTTTGCAAATGCCATCCAAATTTATGGTGGCACTTTTTTGCCTCCCAGCTAGAGATGTTCCCTCCCCAAAGCACCCACATAAAGGTATATTCTCCTAAGGAGGGCTGCAGTTAGTCCCTGCTGCAGRATCCAACCTGCCAAGCATACCAAAAAACTCTCAAGTAACATTTGCAAGGAAACAAACGTCCTCCTGAATTTCAAATCACGAGGTGTTTAAAGACGAGAATCTGAAGGACGAGATGTTTAAAGACCTCATTAGAAGACATTTTTAGTTCTGCTTATATATGTTTACAGCGCAAAATGACGCTGAAGCTAACATGAAATCAGAGAGAGATTTTTTTTCTCTTATTTTGCTACATGTTACACTTTTCCTTAAAGTTTTTAGATAGCGAATTCACAGGCAATTGCACGGAGAGGCAATTGGTAACGCACTGGGTTWGTTAGGGATTGAAGGAACCGCTTGGGCAGCAATGCAGGAGCGAAGGAGCCAGCCCGGTGGGGATGCTGCTGTGCACGGAGCTCGAGCTGGCACCAAAAATTAGAGGCCGGCCTCAGTGAGCAGGGTTCTAAGCTAASGTTGCTCACTGTGCCTCTTGGTCTTAAAATTTGGTACACCCGATTTTCTCTCAGTGTTTGCAGGTGCTTCTCCCTCGCAAAGGGGGCAGTGCACCTTTACAAAGCAGAAATTTCAACCCTCTTAAGTGGAATCGTAATTCTGATTCTTACTTGACTTATCATTTTTGGCTAAAAGTTGCTGAGAAGTCCAAAAGCGATTAAAACCTGAAGCCATTGAATCCATTTAATGCGCCTTTGGCACCTTTTCTTAGTCCTTTTTGAACATTCTGGTCCTCATTTTAATCAATCTCTTTTTATTAAGTTCTTTGGCTCATTTACTCGTACGTGCATTTGCTTTATTTTATTTGGAACRTTTCTTTTGTAGCGTCTTGAAAAGGAGTTGTGACATTGCTTTTGGAGAGCTTCTTAAGTATCTGGCAGTCACCTCTGCCGCGCTGCCGATGGGGGCTGATAGATTAGCTCTGTTTTCCCGATGCTCCCTCAGATGTCGAGTTCTGAGGAAGCAGGAGCGGGTGCTGGCGATGCATATGCAGCAGTTTGATAAGTGCTTAGACGGGGAGCTTTGGTTTTACTGCTGGAAAATCACCTGTCATTAAGCTGGATTTGGTCCGTGGAGCGAGGTGCTCGTTGGCAGGTAGTGGATCGTTGRTCTCAGTAGCTCCAGACGTGGCCAGGGGAGCGGGTGCATCCCGAAGATGTTCCCGATGTAGAAAATAAGGAGCATTCCTTTGAGATGGGTGAATTTTGTRTGGCCTGGCACAATAATGTAGGAGCTGGTAGCGTGGTCAGCTCAGCAAGGTTAGCCTGAGGGGCAGCACCGTAGCCATCCACACTGCGAGAAACCTAGAGGACAAGTTAAGACCTCCCCAGAAGAGAAGCAGCTCATAAGCACTTCTGCTGACCCTAATTTCAGTCATCTTGCTGGAGTAATTTTCACAGAAGAGTGGAAATTCCTCGAAAATTCGTTTTATGTATCAGTTGTTTTTTGTTTTGCTTTGTTCTTCAACAGCCAACTTGTTTTTCTGCATCATCTTATTTGTTCTGCATGTTGTTGTGGTCATGGTCCACCAGGTGATATCCGAGCTTGCTTGATTCCTTCTCATGGTGTCCCTTGAGAGCAAAACCATGTTTCATCCATAGCTTTTGTTACACAATCTCCATCCAGACTCTAGTGACAGAGAGCTGCCGGGAACGTTGGGATAGTTTTCCAGARGTTATCTGTGGAGATGAATACCAGTGGGACTACCAATGGGCCTGKCTTGATGTGGAGTTACTGGTTAGGATGTGCGCAGTCAGGAGAAGGCCAGCCCCTAACGAGGGAGATGGGATGGATGTTTAGGCTGTGTAGGTACGGATATGGAGAGCAAGGGAAGCGTTGTCCTCTGCCACYGCTGGGCCTCCATTCACCTCATCGAAGCTGGTCCTGGTCCCGGTGCCGCTGTCAGCAAGGACGTAGCTTCATGGGAAGCAGGGGAACAGACATTGCTTTTGGTCCGGGAAGGATTTTGTGCATTCGATTCTCACACATCATTCTCTGGTCCATTTAAATACCCACCTCATACATGAAAATTTGAAGATCTTTAGCTGTACTCAAGGAGGACTATTATGTGGTGCATTTCTAGTCCCGGCAAGCATTAGGAGGTAGAGGAACTAAAACCATCCCAGTGCTCCAGAGCCCCTTAGAAGATGAGGAACATGACGTATTCCTGTGAATTCCTTGATTAAACTTGGGCTGGAGGTTTGCGAAGTGCAAAGTTTTGGAAAGTCTTACTGCGAGACTTCGACATCCGCTCACGGCTCCAGTGACCAGAGTCTCTCAAGGACAAGGATCCCATTTACGCTTGCATTATGCATTGAGCAGAAGGGTGTGATGCATGATGTGGAATGAACAAAATAACTTGTGTGTTCAGGGAAATGCCAAATTAATGAAAATTCAGAAAGCTCTAATGTTGAAAAGGCTCACAGATTCCTTGATAGAAATATAATGCTGCTAACAGTTTCAAGATTATTGTTGTCTGAATTTTCGGCTTATTGTGTTCTGCAATTAAAATTCTTTTCAACTGGAAAACCAGTGTCAAATTAATATTTCCTTTTGGAAAAAAAAATATGAGAATGCACATCTTGTTCCATTTAGCACCATCATGGTCTTTGATCTGGCTCCCTCTGCCCAGGGAAAGAACTCAGATTCCTGCTGCTGGGAGCAGGCAAAGACCATCTATGTTTGGCGTGTATATATTAATGCTGTCACATGAGCACAAGTGCAGTTAAAGCAATGCACCCGCTCAGACTCGCGGCTGCTGAAAATCCCCTCGCTGGCTTTTTTCAGTTCTCACTCGGCTGCTTCCGTAGCTAAAAGCTGCCCTGGGATGGAAGTAGCCCCGCTTGCTCCCGTCACACTTAAGCTGGGAAGATGAGCTCCGTGTTTCCCCAAGCAGCAGGCAGGGCCGGGATACAGCAGGGCGAGGAGCACCCGGAGCGCAGCGGGGCCAACGGCTCCACCATGGGAGCAGATGGATGCAGGGAGGCCGGAGCAGCCGCGGCGACGGCTCTGCCGCCCGCGCCTCAGCTTGAACTTTCTAATTTCCTGCATCCCTGAGCAGCGCAGGAGGGGAAGCGGCGGCCTGGGGACCACTAACCGCCTTCAAACTCATTAGGTAGGCAAGGGAAGACCTTTAAAACTGGCCCGGAGTCTCCAGCATGGGTGCCAGCAATTAACCACCTCATTCCATCCTGCCCATCCATCCTAGCGGACGCCTCGCCGCCGCTAATGCCCAGGCTGCYCTTGGCGAGGCGGCCTCCTTGAGCGGGCCCGCTCGAGTCCGGCGCCCGCGCAGCCTCCYGTGGAGATTCCCATGGGAATGGGGGGCCAACGCGCGGCCCGCGCTGCCAGCCCCAAAAAGGGGGTGCGCAGCCGGCGAGGCAGCATCTGGCCCGGCGAGCTGGGAACACAAACCAAGGCGGGCATTAGGAAAGGGAGGGATGGACCGAAGAATACGCAGGGTATATCAGACACATTAACCAAACATATGGTGCTAAATGAGATATTTTTTTTTAAATTGCACAAAAATTGACATTCCTGGCAGTCTCAAGGATAATGTGACATGGCTGTGATAAATTTAGAAGAATGGGACATATTTTGGCTTGTTCTTGGAAACCTTTTTCTTGCATGCAGACTGTATTTCTTCTTTTATTAACCCGTTCAACGAATGTTTGAAGTTTGCTGCTAGAGCCCCATGCTAGCGCACCATAATATGTGAATGATGCTAATTGCTTTGCACTGCCTAACTTTCTGTCATACCCTTCCCTCTTAAAGGACAAAACATGCTTTGGAAATGAGCTGGCAAGCTCGTCTTCTTCTTTCTCTTGGTCAATATTAAGTGAAGTAATTAAGCTCCTGTTTGCATATTCCTCTGAACTAAGAAGCAGCCATTTTTTTCTTGAGATCTGATGGATGTGATCACTCCTGATAAAATGTGTCATTACAAACCTCAAACAAAACAAAAACATGGTAGAGCCGGACTGTTTCAAGACCAAGGCATTTCAAAACATGCCCAAATAAAAACAGCAACAGCGGTAGAATAGCAGTGGCAATCATAATGACRATAAATAAATATAAAAAAACAGGAACCAGTTAGCCAGGCTTCAAGTTTTCGCTCTGCTCAGTGTCTCGCAGCACGGCGTTACATTCGAGTCTCCCTTTGCACATCACGGCGGCTGTCTCAGCCTTGCAAACCCCATCCCCGCAGCAGAAGGGCATTGCTCAGCACTGCTCTAAGCCCAAGGTCAGTCTGGTTTTTTTTTCCCCTCGAAGCTGCTCAGGTTGCAGCGTGCTGAGTGCGAGCGCTTGGACTTGCTGCAGCTTTGAACGATGCTGCCCTGCATTGCACGGCGCTGCGGAGGGAGCAGGTCTTACATGTCCCCGTGCATGCACAGCGCTTGCTCTGCCCGTGACGTGCTGCATCCGAGTGCACAAAGTCCTCGTTCCCCCTTGACTTGGTGCCGCTCATCCCGTCTCTGCCACCCCATGGAGACTCCACTGGGAATCCTTTTGCACATCCACGCGATGGACACGGACACCCGCCCGCCCAGCAGCGTTACAGCCCTTGGGCATTTCCACCTTCCTTCCTTACCCTCAGGCTGAAGCAACTTGTTTGCTTTTCTTCCTACCCCAAAGTCTTGAAAAGCAATACGAAAAAAAAACATAATAAAAACAACCCATGTGCTTCTCTTGCRCAATAGTCTGCCAGTTCTAAACTTTTATTTAGAAAAGAAAACCCGCACATATGTAACTTTTCTTGCTGCGAGGCGACAGCCACCACAACAGAAGACCCTTGCAGCAAGCAGTTTCAACAGCAAGTTCGAACTGGAGCCCTGGAACTCTAATGGCTCCCGGACTTCATTTAACTTTCTGAATATAAACTGCAAAACCTCACTGAAACCATTAGGATCCCAGCAGCGCAGGGTATAAATGGTATAAATAGGCTGCTGCCTATTGCAATCAACATCACAAGGACTATAAAAATAGTGTTATTAAATATAACATTAGTAATGTTGTCCAGGCCTTCCTTCTCCATTTTTAGGAATTAAATTCTTTTAAACACAGCATGGAAATAAGCCTGACTGATGAGCTAGTGCAAGTTCAACTTGCAGCATTATCTGAGATTTTGCTTTTCACCTGAAACCTCAACAGTTCTGCACCTTTGTTTTGCTATATGCAAAATGTCTGCAGTATTGTATATACTGAAAATGAGGTATTTTCAGAGGGATGTAGAGCTAATCAGAACATCCATATGCCTCAACATCTATAAAACTATAGGTGATAATAATACAGACACACACATATCCTTTAACTGTATGCTGCAATACTCTTTTACCCAAACATAAACCATCTGCATAAAAGCTGGGGTTTTAAGACCCAATTGCAATTCCATTCTTTCCACTAATTTCTTCAGTACAGCATAGGAGCCGAAGGAACCACAGGCTTTGATAGCAGTATCAACAGGAGCAATATCTGCAGGAGCTCCTGTAGAATATCCCAATGGTCCTATTAGCATTGCCCCGGTTCTGCCGGTCCGTGGGAGAGGTTTCACCCGGTGGCAACTTGGATTTTCACTGGGAGCCTTTGATATAGTTCAAGGGCATAATAACAGCTCTGAAAAAACGCCAGCGTGGCTTCTAATATAAAGACATAAATACCATTCACCCTTTAAAAAAATTTGAAAGTAAAAGGGGACCACATAAATATATTACTTTCAAATACCTTTGAAGTCAGAGTAAGGATAGGCAGAGCCTGAACTCAGAAAACTTCATTCTCTAGTTGTGCCTTGAGTCTTGCAGCACATTTAAAAGATCCATTTGCAATAATCTACTAAACCAGTGAGTGAAAGACAGAACTCATAAAAAGCCCGTAAAACCCCAAATGCTTCAGCTATTACACATTTCTAAAAATAAAGCAGAATAGGTTTCAGTAGCAATAATAAGCTGCATCTTACCCATATTTCAGGTTTAAAAGAAAAATATGGCTGCGTTTTAGTACTCGTTGCTCAGAGCAAACTATGGCCGCCTCTTCCTCAAGAAAGACCATAAATAAAAGCGAGCTTTCGGCCCGCCGTTGTATTCCATTTCATTTGTCCTTTAAGTTCCTCTAGCTGCTTCTGCACCCACTTTCACGATGCATAGGCTGTCGTTCCATGACCTAGCATTATTAAATTGCACTTATCAATCATTCTTGCCAGGAATGCCATCGCCAACTACATTAAAGAAGTCAGAGAAGTCTGGTTTCAGCAGCCCCTCGCCTTCGCAGACCTCCTCCCTCGGAACGGCTTTCACACAGCACCATCGACCTGTCATTACAGGACCCAGAGGTGAGGCCTTCCCCAGGAGCCCCAGGCAGCCGCGAGCGCTAGCGCCCGCCGTCCCCACCGCTCTCCACGGAAAGCGGGGGCCGCCCGGGGAGAGGCTCTGCTCCCGACGCTCCTCACCTGGACGTTCTCCTCGCCAAGACCTGCGTGGGCTTGCGATAGCTTGGGCCACTTGCCAGAACTCCCCAGGGCCGCTCCGCATTTCCTAAGGGGGGAAATGTTGGTGTCTGGGGGCCTGGGGGTTTTGTTGGAAGAGGGCGGGGAAAGGGACAGGGTCTTGTGTTGTCTCTCTGCTTGTATCAACATATACCATAGATTCAGTCTAGCTGCTCAAGACTCATCCCTCACCTCTGGTCCATGCCCCACGCCGCTGCTTTGTCCCCGCGAGCCATTTAGCATTTGTGTCACCGGTGGCAGTGCGCTGAAGACCCTCCCTGTTAGGGGACCCCTCTGAGGTTGTTCCTGCAGTGCTTTGTTGGTTCCCTTCACAGTCCTCATCAACCTTCCAAGGAAAAGAGATGTTCACTGGGTCTTGATGTGCTCATAAACTTCTAAGAAAGCCACGTCTGCATTAACTTAGCAAACGGAATACAAAAATTCTCAGCTCACACTTGGATGGGAACACACTTGGGCATAGCACTTGCAAACCTTCTTTTTGAAGACAGAAAACTAAGAGTGAATGGTTGTGACATGTTTCTTTCTGCTATGACATTTTACTTCATTTAGAAGAGATTTGCTTCATTTAGAGGAGCTCTGTTGAGTGGTGAGGCTTGAAAAGACATGTTAGCAATTCATACTAGAAATCATCTGGAAATGTCTGTTGGCATTCGTGTGGCCTTGCTGAGGGCAGCACCAACCAGGAGTAACCTCGCTGTGTGCACAGTGCCAGGTGTGTRGCATGAAGTGGTGGAACTGCACCAGCCTTCAGTTCACAGGAGGGCAGAATTGTGCTTCTTGGCTCTCTGTGCTTTGCTAAACCTTCTTAATGCAGTTTGAGTTGTTCTGGTTAATCCCATAAAACTTATTTACTAGCTGAGACACAAGTGCCTAGATCCTCAAAAGGTGTTGTGAGATCCAAGTTTTATGCAGATATAAGAAATCCTTTGAGATCTGGATCTGTGCTCTCTGGCAAATATATCATTTCTTCTTTTAAAAGCCTTGCTAATTGGTGATATAAGTGTGAATAATATGTATGTTCCATTAACATCACATTCAGTGCACATCAACTGATGGATTTCCTATCTTTTAGAAGTTCAAGCTTTTAGATTGGAATTGTTGATCGATTAGTTAATAGATCCTTTCTGTACTTTGTTAAAAAATAARTGTAAGGTAAAGCATAACATCTAAAAATTACTTTTTTGCCCCTATTTAGAGCCTTTGGATTTTAAATGTTTGTGTGGTTTAGAAAGCAAATGCATCAGTAGTTAGGTCTTGTCTAAATCTGATCTACAGTCTGTTTTCACAAGGCTTTTTCTCTGCACTTGGGGATACGTGAGAACACCCCAAGCCTGGCAGAATTCAGAAGAGCAGTGCAGTGACTGCCATGCACAAACCTGTTTGTTTCAAAGGAGGTGTCTTGACTAACTCCAGAGGAAAATGTCACCATTTCTATTCACTGTGACTCCTAATAAGTTGAGCAGAATTTGTTTTTCTGCAACATCTTTTCAAAGCGTCTTCTCGTGTTTTAGGCTTGTCCACAAAGAGTTACAGACGCTCAGGAAAATCCTCTGAATTCATCCATGGTTCCTTAAGTGTCATCATCCTGGAAAAATCTTGTTCCAAATTTCATCTGTTGTTCTTTTTTGGACATCCCTCTTCAGTATTCTTCTTTCACAACACGTTGGCTGTGTTTATTTCTATTCTACAGCAATCATTCTATTAGTAGAGGGTCATATACTGAAATGGATTATTTTYTGCAAATCCAGCTTTGTCCTTTATTTTGTTCCCCCCAAAGCACTTTAGGACAATAGGCAAAGAGAGAAGCCTTTTTCAGGTACWTTAGAAGAGAAATGCAATCATGTAAGAATCATTGAGCATCTCATATCTGCAATTAGTTACAGGAAGTTGTAGTGGGTTTTTTTTTGTGTGGAAATTGTGGGTGTAATAGTACACACATGCTGAATTCTCTTTAGATACATCTGCAATATCTAAATGGCTTATGGCAGGTCATCTGTGTGGTCTTCAGAAAAAGCACAGGATTTACTTTTCATTCTGCAGAGGAATTTCAGTGAAAGTCATGAGTAAGTAGGTCGAAATCAGAGTACRCCCCCGAGCCAACTAAACAATTACAAGAAGGTCCATTCTCCTTTTGATGTTCCCGTGTGCAAATTGATCATTTGGATAGGTAAATGAGAAGCACTTGTGGAGCATGATCAAAAGAGAGAGGGRGAGCAGGGAAAAAGCTGTGGTCTATTCATGGCAGGTGTTGTCAATGACATGCAGTGATTTGTAACTTCTCTTGAATCCTTCAAACACTTCCAAACATTCCTCATAACACAGTGCACATCTTTCACCGGGGATATCCAAAGATACGCAGCGCCCTTCCCAGGGATACTCATAATGAATTATTTTGGGAACAGAACTTGCTTGGAGGARGAGGAGGAGATTTTTAAGAGGCTTTCTGTGCTGTGAGGTGCTCCCTTCAATGAACCCACTTGCAAAACCTCTGTTCTCGTGAAATTGGCTGGACGCTAGTGTGTTGTGGAGGGCTGTGCACTAGTTTTCAGTCTGCATTGGTGCTGTTGCCAGTACTCAACCCAGCTGGGCAGTAGCCAGCAGCGAGGATCTGAGCTGGCTGACCAAAGGACCAGATGTGCGGTGAGTGCTGGCGCGGGGATGCCAATGCTTCAGTGACTCCTCACTAGTTCCAACAGATGGTGGCAAGATCCAAGTTTCTTTGGTGATAAGCTAGCAAAGTGATTCATGGAGCCTCGCTTGATGATGGCAGTTTTTTGGGCATGACTCTATGAATGCACCATATGTCTTCTCTGGACCAGCGTGGTTAGGATTCAGCGTCTGGCAGATGGTAAATTGATCACCTATAGGGTGGCTTTAGCACCACTATCAGTTTCAGAATRTATTTCAAAACATTGAAAATTCAAACAGTTATATCTGTATCTCCTAAGCAACATACCTGCAAGATGATACTGGGTGGTCTGTGTTTCCATACTGTATTGCTGGCATCTTGGAAGTTTCCTCAGCATTGGCCTGCTCAAACTTTTTACCAGACAGTGAAGGATTTAAATACTGTGGGTGACAGCAATATTTACGTAAGTGGTTTCAGGTTTCCATGTATTGCTGCTTACACTCTAGTGGCTTTGTATCTGGAGCTGGCTGAAACCTTAAATTGGCCACGATTTTGTATGCCCGGGATACACAGCAGCTTGTGCTGCAGAGCACTCATGCATTTCCACAGAGTATGACAGCGTAGATCCCACAAGCCAAGAGCAGCAAAGCAAGAGAAAGAGGAAAAAAGATCCCAAGAATGAGATGATATGTTAGGAAGATAACTGAAGGAGCAACGCAATTACAAGAAACAAGACAGAGCACAAAGAGGAGAAGCAAAGGAAGCGGTAGGTGAACAGGAAGAGAGGAAGGGATGAAAGTCAGCCTGTGGAGTGGTTCTCATTCTGTGCTTCCATAATGAGCATTTCGGCTGAGACTTTTATCAGTTGAGGCCTACCAGGGAAACCCTCCATTAGTTCCAATACAGCAACCGCTTTGTCAGAGGCCTGGGAAGAAGCTGTGCCCTTCTCTGTTCTCTGCAGCGTCACCGAAATATCCGTGTCTGTTAGCTGTCCCGCCAGCTAGCCTGAAATGAATAAATGTGATGATTTCCTCTAACTCACTTGAGAGCTACACAATGCAAAAGGACATTTTGTAATAGGCTGATCCACGCAACCCGCGCCGGCTGCCGCTCGCTAACGTAASCTTCTACTTTCCATAGAATTTTGACCGAAACAAAGCAGTGGAAGTTCATTACATCCCAAATGTAGGTATGCTCATGTAAGACAGCCCAGAGAGGAGACAAGCCACCCTGTAATGGTAAGAAAGCGTGTGACAGTTGAGTCGAAACTGAAAATAGCCTGACGTTGGCCAACAGATTGGCTAGCCCAGCACYGTTGCAAAGCAGAGCCCCAGTTGCATGTCAGCATGTGGCTTACCTGGTTTTAGCCAGCCACGTAGACAAAGATTGTGATTTTCTCCCTTCATTCGCTTTGCAAAAACACAAAGCTGGAGGAAACAGTTTGCTAACAGATGGCCTCAAGGTCAGGCTTTAGCAGTCATTACGTACCCTACCCAAACTTCCCTTTACTCCCGTGTCCCAGGCAGGGGAGGAGACAGAGAAAGGCTTGCAAACGGTTAAAGCTTCAGCTAAACAAAAGTCAGGAACCGTGTAATTAAAACTCTACCTTTGTTGTATTGTAAAGAGTTACCCTGTGACATAGGAAATATTTAAAGGAGCAGACTGTTCAGCTAATTTGTGTGCGAGTGAACTGCTTAGACAGTCCTATCCTAAATTAACTGTAAGGCCACCCACTGAGAATGCCTCATAAAGGGCCATGATTGCTCAGCTTCGTTTTGTATAACCGTTCAATAATTACTAGATAAATGCATAACTAAAAGCTCTATTACACTAATAATTTGTGCTGAGATAGATGTGTGGGACACCATGCTGGGTTAATTTGTCATCCCTGCAGCAAACTTCTAAAGAGGGCTCTTCTGCAGAGGAATTGTGCTAATATGTTGCTCTAGTGAGGACATGTTAGAGCAACAAGATGACTTGGTCGCTTAATCTCCTGAGGAGGCAAGATGCCTGGAGGGTTAAGTGCCAGAAAGGAGAGCAGGGGGTGATTAACGGAGTGGACCTACGTTCAAACTCATCCTGACGGAAGGAGCTGATCTAACTGAGCAAGAGACTGAAAAGGGAGGTGTTAGAAATACTAATAGGATGACATAGAGCCCTAAAATTARTGTAAAAAGAACGTGCTGTAGGACCACGG